AGTAGGTTTCTAAACCAAGAGTGTTAATAATATCCAATGAGATCATGTCGGCAAGATGTAAGTGCCGCCATCTATCAGCGAACATGTCAACTGCACCATCCTTACCGTTTTGTTTTGTACCTAACTTTACTTCTCGGGACTTGAAGGTTTCTAGTAAAAATATAAAAATGCCCCTATTTTAACAAAAAAAATTGTATTAGATATGATTGGATTGTATGATTTACATATGACTTTAGATGGTAAACTCCTGTTAATATAATATATGATATTGTAGCAAGCATATGATATTGTATCACTAATAAGAAAAATTGCTATTATAATACAAATCATCTTAACAACTCTTACTGGTTGATTTCCCCTACTGCAACAAAACTTTGACTGTGTGTTGCGTATACTTGTGTGAAGAACATGTAAAAGACTAGAAGATTAATAATTTATGCATACTAAGTAGTTAGTACCTGTATGTAGTGCCTTATAATTTTTTTTATATTTAGTAAACAGTGGTGAGACTGTCCAATCATAGATATTTTTTTTCAAAATTTCTTAAATATGAGGTGACATTTAAAGGTAAATATTACTAACTGAATCCGGCCATATAGTTATGGCAAAAAAATCACTTATTAGTGTCTAGAAAGTCACTTACTTGAAGTAAAAAACAGATATTTGCTGGTATTCATAAAATGTATCATAAAACTCGTCATTCTAGGACGATTAGGTAGGTCCCTAACAACCGTGCAAAGTTGCATAAGGTTTTATTTATATGCATGAATATAAGATAAGCAATGTTTCTATTATTGTTGTAATATTCTCCTAATAAGAACAATCGCTATCGATTTTTATTGTAAATTTATTCAAAGTGGTAGACAAATTTTTTTGTATTATAAACTTTTTGTTCATTTGTAGATGGTTTTTTCAATCATAAGCACTACAATCATGATTTATTCTTTTTTCGATTAGATATATTTTCTTTATACAGGAAGTTAAAAAATCTTGTTAACGAAGGGAATTTTAATTTTCCGAGAAACAGAGTGTTAGAGTTTTAGTAAAAAATATGTTTTATTTATATCCTCCAAACGAGTTCATCAAATTTATTCAAATCGATAGGAATATTGTCATCTTTTTGTTGAGCAGTGCTTCTACGCCACTGAAATTTAGCAAACTACTATTTTTTATTTTGTGATCTTAAATATATTTTCTTTGTTTTTATGATTAAAAATACTGTTAAATACAAATTCACTATTAGTACTAAATGTTAGGTGCACCGTGATTTTAATTTGTTTGTTTGCGTTGTAAAGTTACATAAATAATGCCATTTTGTATACAGGGTGAGTCATAATTAGGTATAAAAAAATTGAACCGAAACTTCTCGTCAGAACAAGGTAATTGGTTAAATAAACCCTTGTTTCACAGATTCAATGTGTTGAAGTTTATAAAAAATTGTATTTTCTTAACTGATTGCTTTAAAATGTAGTGTAGTAAATGTCACTGTCAACAAGCAGAACAATAAACATCAGTATAATCAATCAGGAAATTTATTTAAAAAGTCATACTTTGCCATTCATCTAGAAAAACATTAATTTAATACATTTACCATGATTAAGTAGATGGAATGGCATATCTAACGAATGAGAGAAAGTTATAAAGCCATCATATTATTTCCTTGACAAGCCTGTCATCACATCTCAATTTTTATTTTAACTTGTTGCAACCACAACCTTATCTTAAATGTGAGCAAAACACACATAAGGTATGAAACCACAGATTTGCATAATAAAAAAATTTATATACCGACATTCAACTATTACAGTCATTTTGATGCTAAAATAGAATACCAACAAGTTACATCTAGTTTTCTGTTTTATTAATCTTAAATAAAGCTGATGTAATATAATTGTTAATAGTTTAAAAATATATCTACAATAATAATTTACAAGGTTGTCAAATATTGATATTCTTCAGATTCTGAAAAAAGTATATTCTCTCTGTTTTTATTTTACCTTTTGGGGTTACTTGTGCATATCTAATTGTTCTTGGTATACTAAAACAAATTTTTAGTGCTGTTCTCTTTTTTTCGTAACATTTCAGGAAATATTTTTAAAATAAACCCTATATCGTTATATTTTAACATATCTCAATATGTTAAAAGTTTGGGATATAGAAAAAGAGTTAAACTGGTTACATATAACGTATTGGTTCACATTTCAATAGAATGAGTATATTGCTAAAGAATTTACTTTGTAACCTGTTTCATTTCATAAGTTACAATACATAAACTATATATCTATCCAAGTATGCACAATGGGGGCGAGTGCGACCTAGTGACTTGGCATTCATGTCATCGATACGAAAACTCAAGCAACGCTGATTGCAGTTAGTAGATAGGTGACCATCCTCGGAAGGCTCGCGATGCTCGCCCACCTTCTAGTCGCCTTGTATGTCTGTGTATTCCCAGAAGCTACATAAATTTAGGTGAGGTTTGTATAGGAAGACATACCATCCCTCGGAAAGGTTGTAAAACCGTTAGTCCCTTCTCTAAACACTGTTAGGACAAAGGGCTTGCTCGTTTCCTGGCATGGCGTCAGTGTTTAGACACAATAGCAGAAATAGGCCGACGTAAAAAAAACAAAAAAGCACAATAGCAGAATACCCTGCAGATTTGTGTTTTGAAATTTCTGGACTTTTTCAGGTTTTCTATATTTTAAGTAACAATTAGAAACGCGAGTTCCGATAGTTCCACGACATATGTAAAAATTACTAATTTCAAAGCAATCTTAATCTTAATCCCTTTGTATATTGTCCTCCTATTGTGTATTTACTTTGATATACTCTTTTATATCGACAGATTAATGTTTTTTCGCTTTACATTATTTATTTATTTATTTATTTATTTATTTAATTATATGTTTTATTATTACCTCTACTGCTTTTACTTTATCTTAAAGGTATTAAATTAATTCAAATTACTTTAATTATTTTTTAAGACCTATTAAGTGAAGGCAAACAATGTCCTTCGATATCAAAGATTTAGGTATGTAAAAGATATCTAATCCCGCAGACAAGATTCTTAACTTAGTGCCCGTGCAGAGTTTAACAGACCTGGCGCGGAGGTCGGTGGCCTTCACAGCTGACTCGCGTTTTAAACTATTAAGTTATTTACGGAACCTTGTAGTAGTTGGTGTCGTGTCGATACCTTTCTTTTTTACATCTGCTGTAAATTGTATTCGCCGTGTGTATTTAAATAACTAATAAATAGTAACATAATTTACATTAACAACTATTAGTTGGGACTTATTTCAAATGTGGTTTGACAGTGTTTGACGAAGCCTACTTACAACATTGCGGGAAACAACTACCCTACAGACTACACACCTCGACCCGCTTATAATAGAATTATACCAGCAATATCTAAAAGATATTAAAATCATTAAATAATACAGTTTTTCATAAAAGTACCTTGTATTCTTATTGATCTAAAATCGCCATAATTAATACAATCGTAACCAAGTCAAATCAGGACTTCTTCTGAATAATAAAATTATCCCTTCATAAGAAGAGTTTATTTAAAAAAATGTCCTTAGATATTATTTTAAACATTTCTGCATTTCATTTCGCGATTGTACGAGCTTCCGTCCAAATGGATTCATGAATTTAATAAATATATTAATAGAACATAACTACTGTACTATTCATATAATCATAACTATGTTGTAAACTTTAATAATTCTAACAATGCAAAAATGAATAAAATCTAAGAATATTTTTTTAAAATAAGCTTCTTGTGAAGGGGTAATTTTATGGTCGGAAGTCCTAATTTAACCGCCATATAATTCTTTCTACGGAGGATTCTGAAAAATAAAATAAATAAAGATTTATTTGACTCAAGGGAGAAAATATTGAACGAAATAGTACTAGCAATGAGGTGGGTAAAAAAAACTTGTTTGGATTGCACATCCTTTGGAACCTGATGGGTTTATAAAACCACTGTTTTAATACAATATTTTTAGGTAAACTAAAGATTTGTTTAGTAAGTTTAACATCGAAAAACAAAGCTACGCACTGGTTCCATGGCACACTTGACTATGTGCAGGATCAGTAAATAAACCAAATATTACGCAAAATTTCAAAGCAAATATTTGACACCTCGTACCTCGTGGCACGTACTGTATTTCACTGCAATTAGAAAAATTTAAACAAACGTCTGGTTTATATCCCTGAAATGCAACACGCAATAGTTTTTTTTTCAATATAATTTTTTAATATCGCTAGAAAATTTCCCTTGACTGATCCTTACCATTTATTTCGAGATAGAAAGACTGGATAGACAAGTGGGTAGAATATAAAGTGCTGACTCTGTGAAATCACTTTTTAAATATTTTCCAAAAGAACAATTTGCACCAAAAACACATTTAACATATACGAGGTCTGTTCAGCAAATAACCGAGCATTATTATTTTTTAACTTTATTATTATTTTTATACATTATTAGTCCTTATGTCCTTCAAACTACTGCCTTCCTATATTCGCACTTTTACCAGCGGTGTTTCCATTTCACTAAGCAGTCCTGGATAGATTTATTTGAAATGACCTTTAAAGTCTGTGACAAATTTGCCTTAATGTCATCAACAGTCTGAAAACGACGTCTTTTCAGCACTGATTTTAATTTCGGAAATAAGAAAAAATCGCAAAGAACCAGGTCTGATGAGTACGGAGGTTAATTTTTAGCACAAAATTGACGAATTGACAATGCTGAGTATGCAGGCGCATTGTCATTGTGCAAGAATAATGAATGTTTCATCGTCATTGGATTGTTGATATCAAACATTCACACGATTTTTTTTCTGCTGATCGGTCATCAAATGAGGAACAAATTCTGCTGTAACTCAACGCATGTTCAATTTTTCAGTCAAAATTTCATGGCGTGGCCCAATTGAGATACCAACTCTTCTGCAATTTCTCTGACAGTCAATCGGCAATTTACACGCACCAGATCTTTGACTTTC